TTATTATCATGCAAGTGTCAATTTCTTGTTTCTCCAACAACTTTCTAAACCTTTCTATGCAAACTCTCAGCCTAAACCTGTTGTTCATCTAAACGTTGATGAGCTTCAACTGCACCAGTCAAATAGTTTGTACTTAAATAAACCAAACACCAGACAAAAATAAATTCAACCTGACCACAGCTGCTTATCTCCGTGAGAGACTGCAGTGCAAAGTTTGTACTTTTTAAAGTCCAAAGGTGGTAAAGTATTAACATTTTTTGTAAGACAGATTGTGGATGGAGTTCTACCTCGGTGTTAACACCTCCTTTGACCTCTCTGTAGGAGATCTGTCTAAACCCTCTCCAACCCTCTCCAGCACGCTACACAGTGTCACATCGGTTTTATATCAGCGTGGTTCGCTCATACACCTCCTAAGTGAAGGTTAAAGCTGTTTTAAAGGTATATAATTTATATGCAGTTTGTCTGAGAAGAGTCCTTCACTCTGCACATCAACCCTGAATGTCTGAGTTTTAATTAGTCGTTTAAAGCGTACAGTAGAAGCAGTTATTACCAATAAGGATCATAATAAGTTGAATTCCCCTCAGCTTATGCTACAGAATTAATAACACTGAATCACTCACATGTGGGTGTTTACCTGCAGCCATCTAAAGGTTAAAAATGTACCAGAGACCCGATTCTGGCTTTTACTTCACTCGACACCCCGCAAGAAGTACTTAGCAACCGTGTGGCCTCAAAGGTCTGACACAAATCCTGGCTGTTTGATGTCTTGGAGTCTATTTTAGTCATTTGTTTGATATTAAAGTCTGTAGCGATGCGTCACCACGCTGACCTCTGCACTTTCCATTAGTTCAATAACTTAAGTGGGTTCAGTCGTATCTGCTTTTAAGGACTCTCTTAACCCTCCTCCCACCAAATCCCGACATGCTGCTCCCACGGCACTCGTCTCCCACGACTCGCTGATGCACACTTTGTTTTTCTTTGTGAGTCACACTGTTTAATATTTTAAAAGTTTATCTCTGTTTCTGGTTGGAAAATTAAAGCTAGGAACTCTACAGACTGCGTTCTGTAATTTGAAAAAGGAGGTTTTCTCTGACGAAGTAAGAAGACATGCAGAGTTTTATTTTCCTGCACCACAGCCTCCCTTTGAAGTTAAAAAATAAATAAAAACATCTACAGATATTGTCTGACTGTGTCCTGAAACCATTTGTTTGCTGGTGAAAACCTGGAAAGCAGAAACATTTATGGTTTTTGTGTCAAAACAATTCAGGATTTCAAATTTTCAAATTGTTGTTTTAGCAATTAGCCACAATGCTAACAGATGATTATTTAATGGCAGTTTTGCTACCTAAAAAAACAGAGCTGTCTGTAAACTGGTTAAAAATGTCAGAATGTTCTTACTTTTCTCTCGTCCATGAACTGTTTCATGAACAAAATTGTCAGTTGCATGACTTCACTTCTGCCAGTTGATGGATTTGGTGCTATTAGTTTTTAAAATTAAGTATAAGATTAGTGGGGAAAAAATATAAGAATAATTGGTATTTGGAAAGATGGCATAAAGTGACTCTGAGGGTCTGTCCAGGGGCTTTATATGAAGTCATGATGATGAAAAATATCCTTTTGACCAACTCTGGCTTATTTACGTCAATATAGTTAATACACCCATCAGCCACAACATTAAGACCACTGCCAGGTGAGCATTGATCTTCTCGTTACCATACAACGGTCTACCGGGAAACCTTGGCTCCTGGCATTCATGCAGGTGTTATTTTGTACCTCAACAATGCTGCAGACCACAAGACAAGTGTCCTCGTTCCATATTGTCCTGCTGGAAGAGGACAATGGAGCCACAGCGAAGAGCCCACAGGCGCTGACCCGACCTCCAGACTCCCAGACTCCCCAGATCCCAATCCAATTGAGCGTCTGCAAGATGCACCAGAACGAGCCGGTTCCACACGGGCCACAACACACAGGACCCAAAGGAACCACTGCAAACGTCCTGCTGCCAGACATGACAGAACCCCCCAGAGCGTCTGTGTTCACGCATGATGGGTCAGCATGAGGCGGACATGCACAGTGTCAGACGGGCGGTTTTAATGTTGTGGATGATGTATTTATCGTCCGCAGCCACTGGGACTGGGATGGTTTCTTTACCAGCACTGCTACAAGGAGAAAAGAAAACACGGAATCATATAGTTCAAGTTGTGTTTGGAAAATCTCACTTAATGCCCCAGGATGACAAAAAAATGTGGCTTAAAGGGTTAAAATGTGACCTTATTGGTAGTGAACATAATTACCAATCAGCAGTGTGCTATCAATCTTCTGTTTTGTCAAGGTGCCAGCAAACAACATGCTAATCTCCTAAATGCTCATTTATTCAGTCTTGTGGTTCACGCAGCTAAAAGTCTTCATAAGAACAGTGCATTTGCAAAAACAGAAACTCCATCTTCACAAATCTTCAGAAAACCCACTTTTCCATCGTCTACCTGAGACAACATCAATCAAACTTAACTTGTCTCTATCTTTGTCACTTCTACTGAGTCAAATCCACTCAACTTCAGTTTCTGAAAACCTACAAAAATGGAATTATCTGTTTGCAAATTAACTCTTCATATATTCTTTAAAAAACCTTTCCTCCTTCCTCCAGAGGTGTCGGCCAGCTTCAAGTTGGGAACGTCCGTCAGCTACACCTTCAAGGAGCCCTACGAGCTGAGCAGGAACAGCAGCGCTCTGCCGTCCTCCATCTACTCTGACATGACGCTGAGAGGAGAGAACGTCTCGCTGAGCTTCAGGACGAACCAGAGTCCTGCTCTGCTGCTCTACGTCAGCTCCTACTACAGAGAGTACCTGGCCCTGCTCATCAACAAGCACGGTGAGCGGGACGAAACCCTTCTTCCCTCCTTGAACCTTCTAAACAACAAGCAGTTCCTGCATGTGTTTGGCTCCTGTTGTTACTCACTGTGGGTTCATTTGTTCATCATGTTTAACATAACTTTCCAAGTATCCACAGGAGTTACTAATACTACAAAAAAATCTACTACTATTCTATGTGCTAGAGATTTAGGTGTAGATAGAGTACTTGTTCATTTTTAATTTTCTAACCCGTATTTCTGATCTCCGCATTACAACAGCCTCGAGAACTTTTGTTAGTAATTGATGAATTGCTTCCCAGTTGTGCAGAATACAAAATAAATTTAGTGCAAGCAGTTATTTTGGGATAATTTTTAAACAAGACTTGTAGAATAAAGTGATTTTGATGAACCGTAACAATTATTAACTTATATTTACAGTTGTCCTCAAATTTATTCTGCCATTAAAGAAGTAAAAAAAAACAGCTGTCACTGAAATCAAATGAAATTGAGAAAAGTAATAATATTTTTTTTTTTAAATAATTACGAAAATCGTGATATTACTTTTAAATTGTGGTTCAACAGAAATATTTTTTAAGAAAAACAAAAACAAAAACAAAACAAGCATGATGGGACTCACAAACTACTATTTAGTTGAACAACCCTTTGAGCCAATCACAGCCATCAAGTGTTTTCTGTAACTCAATCAGACGTCTGCACCTGTTGACAGGTGTTCTGATTTTGACCCACTGCTCATCAGCAACGTGTTCTGATTCGTCCGGGACAGTTTTGTTTGTTTTTTAATTATTCTTTGCAACCACAATTCAAAAGCAATGTCTTCTTTCACTAAATTATAATTTAGCAAATTTTTTTATTTCTGATTCCTTTCTTCAGTTTCTAGTTATTTGAGTGACTCTTGTGACTCTCATCCCGTCTCCTTCGTTTTCCTTAACAGTACTTTTGCACTGAAACTTGCTCGTCTTCCTTATCAACAAGTTTCTTTCTCCTCTTCCTTCATTCATCATCTATCAAGTATTATTCATGTCCCACTTTTCTCGTTCTTCCTTCTGCCTGCTCTCTTTTTGCTGTTTTTTTTCTTATTTTCACTCCTCAACTTTTTCTTGTGACTTTTCTGGCTTTGACCTCTCAGCCTCTCGCGTCAGGATTTTCTCTCATTCTCTTTTCCTGACATCTTCTCTGAATATTGACCTTCTGTCCTGCTTCTTTCCTCCTCTGCATCATCAGAATCTGTCAGATCTTCCGCCCTTAACTCTGTCCAGCCTTGCCGGATAATGTGTTTTGTCTGAAACTAAAAAAAAAAAAAAAGTGTCCACCAGTATTATCACTGAGCCCTGATGAGAGCTGCAGCAGGAATAAGAGTTTGATGGGCTCCTAATGGGCGGCAGCTCAGCGCGCCGCTGAATAAAGCAGCTGAAAAGTTGCTGAAGTGTTTTCTAAACTTTTGTGTAAAATAATTATGTCGCGAGTTCGGCTTTTAAAAGTAACACGAAGCACTTTGAATTCAAAATTACATTTTCAGCATCCGGGAGTCTAATAAAATTGGCACTTTGCTGCTAGATTAGCTGTAAATGGATTTTTTTTGTGGTGCTAATGAGTCAGAGAAAGCTGACGGACAGCAGGGCATTAAGGTTTCGTGCTGACCGTGGACTCGTCAGGTAAATGGAATCGCACAATTAAATAGCTAAGAGCTCTCTCTGGTTTGGCCTGAGACGGCTCATTTCATTTTACCGTTGACTGCAGCTACACCTCCTCTGCCCAAACACCACTTCTTCACTTAAGGCCTCTTTTAAGAATACTTTCATTATTGGAGCAGTAGCAGGTAGCCGGAGGTCCTCGAAAAACTCAGGGTTTAAAATGATTTATTGTTTCTGACTTACACAAACGCTGTTGGAAAAGAGCGTTCTTTAATTTTCACTCTATTTTTAGCCGAAAATTTCCAACACGTCAGAAGGCTTTTGTTAAATCTGCACTTAATGCGCTTGACTATTAGGAGAATTAATTAGATTTAATTAGATTAATTCTGTTATTGATAGAGAATTAGCTCTTATCCTCTTACTATAGAAATCTTAATTAATAGAGAAACCACCTCTTCAGATTCATATTTGCAGGATTAAAAGTGTGTTTACCCTTTTGGCCGTGATTATAGGACACAGCAAGGCCGTTTTCAGGAAAAGCTAAAACTTTGCCTCAAACTTTGAAATGATGATGATTCAAACTAAAATCCGTCTTTCTGACAGAACAGCCTTGAACGCCGTCTCCTTCTTTTGGAGATCTGAAATGAAGCAACATGGTTTGATGTGTGTTGTGTGTGTGTGTGTGTGTGTGTGAAGATAAGCTGGAGGTGAGATACAAGCTGGACAGCAGCAGAGATGCTGAAGTTTTAAAGAGCAACGTGAGGAGTTTGGCCAACGGACAGCTGCACACCGTTTCCATCAGGAGACTGACGGACTCTGTGTCAGTTCAGGTAAAACCACCTCGTCGCTTCATGAAGCAGTTTTGGTGAACACATGCAGGAGACACACAGCTTCACAGAAACACCTCTGGGGTCTCGTTTAAGGCTTTCTTAAACACCTAATCCGGTTTTCATTCCTCTTTTTGCCTTTTTTTTCTTTGGCTCTACCAGTTCCACAAAATACCCGATTTGCTTTTCCCTTGCTGTGTAGCTGCTCACTAACTCTGCCTGTCTGCTGTGTGATGCTGAGCAGCTTTTCTGGGTAGATTTTCTGTAAACTATTTGCTGTCCTGAGATACACTGAATATGCTTTAAAGATCCCATATGGTGAAAACCCTTTTTTTGTGTGTTGTGCTTGTTATTACCTTGGATGTCTCAAGTAAAAGCCGGAAAGTTATAAAGACGTTCACTTTCTCAATTCAGCTCCCACAACACTACAGTCGTCCTCAGATTTATTCATACCCTCCCATTAAAGAAGGCAAAACAGGCGTCACTGAAATAAGCTGAAATTGACAAAAGTAATAATAAATAAATAAATTACTGAAAACCATGACCTTGCATTTGAATTGTGTGATTTTGACCCACTTCTCATCAGCAAAGTGCTCTAATTGGTCTGGGACAGTTTTGAGTTTTTTATTTTTTTAATTATTCTTTTCAACCACAATTCAAAAGCAACGTCTGATTTCACTAAATTATAAAACAACAAATTTTTATTTATTATTACTTTTTCTGTTTCTAGTTATTTGAGTGACTATTCTGAATTGTGCCTTTTCTTTAATGGAAGGGTCTGAATACATTTGAGAGCGACTGTACATAGCTTCACAAACCAGTGAGTATTTTACTGAGCTTCTACTTAAAGTATTCGATTTGGAACGCAACCAGAGAGAGTCTTCTTCCTGAAGGGGCAGCAGCAGCAGCTCATCTG